TCCATGACAACTTAGCTGAAGGTCTGCTCTGGTATGTTTGCACAGCACTCTGCACATGACCTATTTTAACACTAAACTCTAATGTGATCAAAAGAACAAATAACAGGAATCAAAATGTTCATTTGTTCATTGGTGTTGATCCATAAGTCTTCCAGCCTGGTAATATAACTATTATTACAGGAAATCCTTTTTCTTTCTATTGATTTCAAACAGCATACATGTGGTAAAGGTATCAACAATATTGATGATAGTATTGCTATGAAACATAAAGCAGGCCTTTGACATATTACACACTCACCAGAAAACAGGAACGATAATTTGTCCGATGCCTTTTTCTCCAGCCTAGGTCAGTTCACATTGCTCTCTCTGATTTCTTCATTACCTTCTCATGAAGTATCCCAACTGAAGCTGAACTGCAGCTCCTCCGAGAAAAAAATATATATATATAAAATAATAATAAGAAGAAGAAACCTCTGGCTTTGTTCCTGTACCCACTCTACTTAATTCTACTATTACTTACCTACCCAAGACAGCTCCAAGAGAAGATGCTCCTGCACATTTCCATGCCAATAGTCACTATAAGCCAAAGCCCTGTCTGCACTGAGCGGCCACCACTGGATGCCTCAGAAAAAGTTACAAAATTGCCATAATTGTGTAATAATTCCCCTTACGGGAAGTCTGTTCCTAGTTGAAGGATGTTAATAGTCAGCTTAAGAATTCACGTACAGTGCTAATGGAAGCACGGACAAGAACATCCACACTGTTTAGGAAGCAGCAGGCAATATGATGAAGAAGGAATTAAAGAGATGCTTAAAAAGCTTCTTGGATCACAGACACATTTTCTTGTTTTTAAGCATTTGTTCAGTTCCTCTCAATAATTCATGCCAAGGTGATCAGGGTCTTCAGAATATGCACAGCCAGAAGGCAGAAGAGCTGTAGCATGTACCATCTGAGCAGCATGATGCAAGTACATGTAACTGGGGCGCTTATGTCCGCCATAAAATATCATGTTTTTCTCTTCCTGAAGACATAGTCTTCTTCTGAAGAGTGATTTTTGCAGTGCCAGCACAGGCTTACCCAGATCCTTCATTTGGGAAAGTGCTCAGCCAGAGTGGGGCCAACTGCCCAGGGGTCCAGGCAGTCCTACTGTGCTCAGGCAAGGCAGAGGACAGCCAGCTAGGCTGTTTCTGGTGGTCCCTTCTCAAAGCAGCAATATCTGATGAGATGGAACCAAGTTATATTTTTTAGCATGGGGTGCAGGTTTGTCAGCAAGCCCTCAAGGTATCTTAGATTAGCCTGGAGTCCTCTCCAACTGCCCTATGAAAAGTACAAAACAAAGCTGCTGCATACTGTCCCCAGGTCTGTCAGCTGTGAAACAACAAAGACAATAAGCACAGACAAAGCTGGCTGGACAAACAGCCCGTCTGAAACACTAGGCTGTCACCAACAACCGCCGTGATGCTTCCCCAGCACACGTTGACAGCCTCCAGCAGTTTGTGTCCTGCATGCACACAGATTTGTAGCCCAACGGCACCTTACAGCAGGGAGCCCAACAGCAAACATACCCTGAACTTCATGACCTTTGCTTAAGGTGATGGTAAGTAGCTAAGCTAAGACTTCCAAGGGAAATTTGAAAGGCTCAAATTACACACAAACTATAAAATGAGTAATATGCGCTTATGTATCTTAATAGGACTGCCAATGGCCAATTTGGTGCACTTTAGAACCCTATTAATAGCTGGACTCCACAGGCAGATGAATAAAACACACTTCCCTGGAGAAATAGAACAGCAAGAGAGGACTGACCAGGGATGAATCCTGCCCGTCTACGTTGCTCAGTAACGTGTGACTACTCCGTAAACATTGCTGCTGCTTCACCAGCTCCTTCTGGTTTTATCTGTGGCACAAAATGTTAAGCATATCGACCAGGTGATACGTTTATTTTATTAGTACATGTCCTTGAACTAACACTGTATTACATGGGTACCTGCCAGGTTAGTGACTGAAGGAACACTGCATCGGGGAGAGAGGAGCCAGGAGAGGGAGGAAGGGAGGTTTCAGTGAGATAAGAAGGTGCAAATATTGTATGCAAACAACGGGGACAGAAGTGGTTCACCTTGAAGAGAACGTGTTTGGACACATTTGACTCTTCAAAACCAATCTTGAAGTACCAGGCTGAAGCCAGGCTCTGTTTCAAAATCTTCCTGTTTTTCGTTTTTTTGTTTGTTTGTTTTTATCCTAATAGTGGTGCCACCTGCTTTAACATGTGAGGCTGTCACTGTTCAGTGAGGCAGTTTGGGATAAAACCTGAGCTATCTCCCCACAGTTTACCTCTAACTCGTAGTGGACAGGTGAATAAACCTGGGGAATTTCTGCCTGTGAGCTGTCACTGATGGCACTAAGCCAGGCTGACTCTTTCAGGCTGATGGGTTGACCCTGGCATGCCCTGGTGGCTTTCAGCATTTTGCAGCCATTTCCTAACGCATCCCTGCTGGAAAGGTGTGCAGGCTGCATATGCTGCCTTACCTGGATTTGTTGCTTCCAGAGAGACAGCAAGCCTTAGACTGATCTGGGCTTAAATGTGTACCTAGAGAAGCTTAGAGACAAAAGTTCAAGGGTTAATTTAAGTTCTCAACTACCAAATTGAAAGCTGCAAAAGAGAAACAGGTAACTTGAAAAGCCTGTGCCTGCAATGACCTCTCTGTGGTCCTACTTTGGGAGTCTCAGAGACATTTCTCAGCTGCTGAGCAGTGAGGGTACCTCAGCATCCTCCTGCTGCTCACTGGCCTTCAGGCTCAACCCCACAGCTAAGGACCAGGTGGGTCCAGCCCCACTTCAAAGACCTGTAAGGCTCCCTCAGAGTCAGCACTTTCTTCATCCTGCCTCTGCTCTTTCACACCTGACTTCTCCTTGATCTTTCTCCCTTGGGAACACAACCCCATAAGGCAATGGTGACTGCAGTTCCCCTAGTCCTCCCTTCTCTTAGAGTGTGTTGCAAACGTAAGAGTAGCAAGGGAAACCTTGTGTGATCCCAGGGACATCTTCGAACTTATAGCAAATGCCTTTTTAAATAAAACTTCTTAAACTTAAACTGTAAATGGTGCTCTCTGCCTGCACGCTGCAGAGAAGGCTAGCAGCCAGAGAGATTTTCCCCATCCATTTTCCTATTCCTCTTCTCAGCTGCCCCCAGCTAGCTTCCTCACTCACCTTCACTCCCATCTTTCATCAGTCTGAAAGCTTCGCATCACATTTCTCCAGCAGAAATTAAAACTGAACTTGGAAATTAGCACACAGCAGCCATGCATATCTGTGACTCTGCAGCATCAATATCTCCTGAGCTTTTCTCTCTGATTTCTCCCTTTTTTCGCCTCCTCTTCATCCTCCACACTATTTTATTTTCTTTCCACTGTCTCTAGCCTTAGAAGATCCCCTCTTTTTGTTTTTCTTTACAAGGGATTTGCCCTCCTCCTCCCAATTCTTATGGCCGTTCCCCATCTTCCACATGCTAGTCAAGAAACTCCTGACAGCTGCGCTTCCCATCTTGTGTTTTGCTGTCATCATCACTTTGTGTGCAGGCATGTGCACGTGCGAGAGAGAAATCCAGACGAGTGACTTGAATCTTACACTAATCGGAGGCAGAGCAAAAGGCTCCATCCCCACTTGCAGCAGCTGCTCCCCCAAGGACCAGTGGCCATAGTACAGCGGCAGAGAGCAGGGTCACAGCAAAAGAGCACCGGGGAGAGCCCCAAGCTGTGCTGTGACACACACGCACACACACACACTCACCCCTGGATTTAGCGATGCCGCACAGCTGCGCTTCTCCCTGCATGGTTCTGCCATTGATCTGTGCCAGTTTCTCACTTTTGTGGCAGACGGCTGTGCTCCCTGGGCAGGATTTAATCAACAAATGTTAATTTTTTCCACTTTTGCCCTTATTCACTTCTCCAGACTCAACAGATCTTTTTCCCCTACACGCACAGGCTGGTGTTGCAGCCTGTCTCCCTCTTGCCCGAAGACCTGCATCAGCAGCTGTACAGCTGGTGCTGGTGCTTTGCCAGGGTCAGAAGCTCTCCCACATTGACCAGAAATTTTATCTGACAGTGATCTTGGGCAAGCAAGAGTCATCACCAACATAAATCACTGATTTTTAATAAAAAATAACTACCGAGTCCTACAGATGCTATCCATAATCCATTACCTCCGAAACATCCCTCTACTTTATGACTCAGCATCTGGTAGCCAGCTGAATCCAAACTCCTATAGCATCACATTAAAGCTTTATCCAGCGTGATTTCTTCACGTATTTCCTAGAACTGAACAAAACCACAAGAGCAGTTGAGTAAAAAATGCAATAATTCACAGTACCATAGCAACAATGATAAAATATGTGCTTCCTCCTTATTCATTTTGATTAAGAAAATTATTCACAAGGCATCAGATGTTTGGAAAGAAATCTATCTTGTGGTTTGTTAATCAGAGGAACAATATACTCAAGACTGCTGAGGGAAGTAGCTTTCAAGGCTGCAAGGCACTGCCAATTGTTTTCTACAGGAAGCTGATAAGACCCTACACATACTTGTTGGCCCGACATTTGACACTACCTATCAGTTAATGTTCCCATCCAGAAAGGTGCTTAAGTATACACTTAGTTTTAAGCATGCAAACATTAAATCCAAGATGAGTACTTACGCCCTTCAAGTTGAGTGCATTTGTAATACTTTTAATATTTTTAATTGCTTTGTGGAAATCCAGCTTAGATAAGTAACAATGTGCCTACAGGCTTAGCAGCTGAAGGAGGCTCAGCGTCTCTCCTTTCACCACCACTTCTTTGTTCTTCATCCCACTCAGTCCATCCCTGGGACCACTGATGTTCCCTCCTTCCTTAGGATCCTATGTTACCACCATTCACTTTTCAGCACTTTCTAAGGTCCTACCTTCCCACTCTGCAGTCTCCCCATAGCACTGTGTCCTCGGGCTCGCTCCCACACACGAGCACCATGCCACAGATTTTTTGCTGAGAAGTTTTACACTGAGTCCTTCTTTTTTCCCTACTCTCACACATTACACTGGTATTTTGACTGTATCATAAGCGCATACATATGATGTCCTCAAGCACTACAATGTCTCAGTTGAGGAAAGGCTGCATTTCAGCTGTCTGTGCATAGCTTATCAGTTTGGTGTTACTTTGGGGTTCCTGGTAAAGTCATCCCATAAACGTCAACTGTTAATAATTTCATATAAATTATTCTTTGTTTGCACACAAGTAAACAAATGTAACACACATGAGATGTTCCTTCTGCACTGTTCATTTTAGTAGAACAACCAGCACAAAGTATTAAAGACAAGTATGGCTCTGTCCTACCACGTGGCTGGATCAGCATGAGGAAAATGCACATTTTAGGTGTGCTGTTTGCATTGCAAAACAAGACAGTTAAGGACAGGATGCAGTCATAGAGGCATGGTGAGCAGATCAAATCTTTCTTTTTCATCGCTCAGGAGACTGAATAACTTAAGTTCTTCTTCCATCTTCTGGGAGATCCACTGGAACTGAGTATCATCAGAAGGACACGTGTTTTATAAATAAGCAATGGCAGACAGAAAGCAATTGAATTAGATCCCCAAAGCTTTACTAAGATAGATGATCCTTGAAAGTACAGCTAGGATATTAAATGTAGCGAGAGTATAATTCTTAATTTCTAGGCATCTGTGAGAATAGTTACCATCCTTCGGGGAGTATTGTAGTGACTGTAGCTGGTAGATCTCTAAATGAGACTATATTTCCTTTTGATATTGCATCATTAAGATAACTGATTCCTATACCCAGCCAAATGTTTCATATAACTCTTTCCTCCCTTTTCTTAATGTGTGCAATTGTGAAAGAGCAGCACTGGAGGGATTTAGTGGTTGTATCTCTTTATGAGTCTGAACTGTGACATGGAGGACTCGCTGAGTTTATTGATTTTAATTTCTTATATTCGGGATTTATCTTCTCAAATTTTATTTAATGGTTGAGAATACTTACAGTGTTGATATAGGAGGTTGGCTACCCAAGGGCAAATTTCAGATCCTCGTTTCTTCACCTGTGCATTTGTTTGTTTGCTTCTGGATACCAGCTGCCAGACTTTGATCCAGGCTTTGATCAAGAGTGGCCAAGGGGCATACTCTGAGACAGCATTCCTCTCTGTCAGCCTCAATAGCCAGAGCTGAGAGTAGCAGGGCGCTTAAGTGGATTTCTATGCCTATCAGAGTGAGAGATCAGGCATTCCCTTTGAAGATCCTTTGCTACTGCAATCTAGATTCAGATCCCTGATTTGGTCTGAGGACCCTAAGCCACAAGGCACACAGCAGGGTCTCCTAGAGGGTGCAGGAGTTTGAGAGACTAGGATTGTTATCTGGGTGGCTGGGTATTTTCTTTGCTTTTTCCCAGGAAGACAACTGGAAGGGCTGCGAATGCAAAGGGTGAAAAAGTGTGGTGAGAAAATCCACTTTTCAGGCTGTTACATAAATACCAGCATCCCTCTTTTCAGTAGTGGAAAAAAAAGCTTATAGAGTTGTCAGACTAAACCAGACTCAGCATTTCTTGGGCTACTTCAGTGTAGTAGGGAGAGCTCAGCCAGGTTGATTCCCTTCCTGGAGCATTTAAGGACTAAGCTAATAAAGTACTTTATGGCGGTGAGTTCCTGTGGCACCATAGGGAAGATGAAGAGCTATGAAACAATAGATGGAGAGTATCTGTCATTCTTGGAAGAGGTGATTTCTCCTGCGGATGCAGCACTGAACTTTGGTGCCAGGAGGAGCAATCTCTGCCAATGATTTGTTGTTTCACCTTTCCCACTTAACTGCTCTGTTTCCCATGGCACTGTTTTTTATCTTCTTCAACTTCCTTAACACCTATAAGGCAAGTATTTGTGCCCTATTGTGTCTCTGCATTCCAGCATGCAGAGCTCCAGCCACAAGCTGGACATTGCCATAAGCTTATGTATTGCTGCCAGGGAGAATTAATCACCACAGGTTGCCAGGGGTAATGAATGCTCATCGTGACTTTCACACTTGACTGTCTTGGTTCGGAAATACAGGGATTGATGTAAGCTTCTCTTTAAGGAGTAGTGCTCTCCTTCTGCCCTTGTTTCTTTTTGTCCTTCCATCCTCTCTTTCTTTCTCTTCTTTCCTCCAGTACTGACAAGCCTGGCAGTTTGTTACAGCTTTCTCCTTCTTCTATTTTGAGACAGAATCAACAGCAGCCAGCTGAAGGGCAGGGCTATGTCCGGTGCCCATTTCCAGTTCCCCCACCCACAGGCAGGACCAGTATGCATTCATGCCCATTATGGGTGCTACAGTGGGCTCATTCATGGACTCATTTCTTTCTGCTGTGAGATTCCCTTGCCCGAGCACCCTGTTTTCCTTGGCGCAGGGCAGTAAGACAAGAAGGAATCTTTACATGGAAATCTCTCCAGCTATGGGAAACATTTCCCCTTACACATGTCCTCACAAGAGATCTACGACATCCGTAATTGCAGACAGCACTTGGAATGCGGTGACGTCTCCGCATTTCATGACCAAACACAGTCTTTGCCATTGCCCAAGGGTAGAGTAGACTCTAACAGCATTAACCTATGGTCCCTTATCTACTGCTTTCGTCACTGTCCATTTGTATCTATTTGGAGAAAAGTTGTGCTGTCTGATACCAAGTTGCCTGGCAAACTAGTTTTGTTGTACGGGTGGCATTTCTGCCCTTCTCCTTTCCACTTATACTTCAGGCAGCAGTGACTCAGTCTTTTGCTCTGGGGTTCTCACCTTGCTAACCCTTCCAGTCCTGGAGACTTTCCTAAAATCCACAGATGCCCATTGCAAGCTAATCTATAAGATGCTCAGTGCTTCAGCTTTGCTTTCTTCCAGGGACCATTTAAATGAAGACAAGCCACCATGTCATCTGAAGACACAATAATGCACATGGAGACAGTTCCACAACGTTGCCTTCCAGCCCAGATGTCACACCTGAGAACCCTGTCACATAAGCTTATTGTTAAAGGTGCCAGAATGTTCTCTTTGTATAGTAGCTTTGGATTAATCCTGCTGTTAACGAATACTGAAAACAACAACAGTGTATTTTAATTAAACAAAGCACAAGCAGTTCTCACTTAAAGTGGGAGGGGAAATGATAAGGGTGATTTCATCCCTCCATGTCTGATGCAGACTATGACAGATGGAGGAAGCACGGGGAATACTAATGAACAGAAAAGGAAGAGACCAGTGCCTTCACTGCAGGGAACACTTGACCTCTCAGTTTTGTCCTTCACCCCAGGTAGCTCCCAGGCAGGTTAACGCTGCTCGTTTGCTTTTGCAGCCATGATCTCAAACAGCTCTTCCCACAAACGGGTTGTGAGCTGTCTCTTGTCCAGCTCAGCACTTCTCCCACACACAGATTTCCTTGGACAAAACTGGTTTTGGTGTCCCTGCCCCCCAAAACAGTACTCCTATTTCCTGTATCAGGCTGGGCATATTCATTGCCATTGGCCCTAACTACCACACCTGTATGCCCACAGTGAATAACACCTGCTGATTAAACACAGGTGCAAAGTATCCTTTAGCTCTGAGGCTACAAAAAAATGCAATTACAAAACAAGAGCCTTTTTTTTTCCTTACTCTGTAGATTAATCCAGGCTGTTTCATTTGGTTTCTTCTCGAAAGTGTAACTCAGCTTGAGTTTTGGATGAACATAGACTGCACTCACCAGATTAAGATTTGTCTCTGCTGATCTGCTTCTAGAGGGGGTAAATTAGCCCTTTAGTAGCCCCATGGTAGCTTAACTAAACTGCTTACTGTGCTGACTAAATTCATTTACAGTTAGTTTGATAGCTCTCCATTACATCGTGCAATATAGATATAATTCAAGACAATGGAGCATCATTAGCCTTTAATAATTGCACTTGAATCAGATCATAGGTGGGTTCATGGGCTGAGATCCAAGAGAACCAATTTGTTCCAAGCATCTCTGCAGAGAAGCGGATCAGGCAGCTGAATATGGGGAAAGGGACGTAATTCTGGGAGGGTTCTCAGAGGGCCTTCAGGCAGAAAGAAGGAAGAAGTTTGGTAGCAGAGAAGAGGAACAGCTGAGGGATGAACAAAGAGAAGAAAAACACTGCCAGGAACATTTCCACCGTCCAGAAGTCAGGCATCCTTCTAGTGTCAAGCCCCTGTCCCTTTCACCATGCTCTCAAGACACACTTGAAGGAAGAAGCTATAGATGTGCACCAAGAAAGACATTTCCCTGCTGGGGTCCTGCTCTGACTCTACAGGGGTTAAATCCTGCAACAAATCCAGGGTAGTCCAGAGGATAGAGCAGAGCATCTGCCCTACAGGGAAGACTTTTCCCTGCACAGACCAGCAGTCATATGGCAGGTGTATTTAAAACACTGTGCAACAACAAATAATTGCTTAAAGAAAACAAACCAGCTCTGAGAGATACAAATCTAAGCTAAAACAAATAACCCAATGGTGCCCAACCTGACACACAGTCAGTCCCCTGCCATCAGTGCACATAAAAACAATTCCTTTATTTGTCCATGGTTTTGCCCTCCCCAACATTAGAGCTGTGTATTTCATGCACTTTCCAAGCAGCTGCAGCCCAGCCCCGCGTGGTGCTGGGAAGGAAACGTTCAGTCCTGCATCCATCTGCAGTGATAAAACACTCTCTCTAGACAGAGGAGGCAAAAGTCATGAGCTTCGTTTTGCAAGTACCTACACTTGTCAAAAGGAGATCCAGGACCGAATGGTTCATGAGATGAGATAAAACCAGATATGAGAATTAGTCCCCACTAATGAGTTAAAAGGAGGTTTCCTACTCACCTATGGAAATAAAACCAGGAACGAAATCAACTCATGAATTCAGCTTAAAACAAAACACTTTTTTGTCCTGATGTAGTAAATTTTCTACCAGGTTAGTGAGTTAAATCAGCATAAAAAGGGCCCTACAGGCGGCAGACATTGCACAGATAACTGGTAAATTCTTAACAGTTGGATTGGAGAGGATGGAGGATTAGTGAGCAGTAGTCAACAAGGAGATGATTTTACCTCATCTTATGGCACCCTCAGCCTGTAAATCTGGTGAGACTGGGACAATACTTCAGCACTTCTTGATCTGAACCTACAGACATAGAAAACAGACTTTATAACACACCCAGAACAAAATATAATCTATGATCTATAAAATACAGTCTCTACATATTGGAGTATAATATAATCAATATATTGGTTATATACACGAGTGTGAAAAGTGGTGATCAAAGGTATCTACAGGAGCGCCTGGTTTCTACAGGACTCTCCCTGTGGGCTGCACGTAGCTTCTCCCACGAGCAGCCTGTGTAACACCAACCCCTGGTGGGTTGCCTCTAGCTGAAGCACAAACTACCACCATTTGCTGCTGCTTTGGTTAGAGCCAAGCCTGCTGGAAACAGAGCCCCTCCAGCCTTCAGAGCACTCCATGAGGGTTCCTGTCCTTTCTGGGACACTCAGCACCTGGCTGAGCCTGGTGTGTGCAGGAGATGGACTGCCAGAACCCTCTGGAAGCACCCTCCAATATACCTCAAAGTTGCATGGGGAAGGAAGGTCTGGCTCTTCTACACCTGCTCTGCATGCTCAGGGCAGTGCTGGGCTGGCCCATGGTGAATGACACAGCCACATGGCTGGTCACATCTGAAACCCAGCCAGCAGCTTCTGCAGTGCCATTAGCCCTGCTAATTAGCGAGTGAGTCACAGCCTTGGCTGTGGCTTTCCCCTCTTTCAGAGAACCTTAGCATGGACATTTCACACTTGCTGATGGCATGCTTTGAGATTTTCTCCCTTTCTCACTTTTTTTTTTCTTTTAACTAAACAGCGAACCATATGGTGCAGCGTTGTCTGATTAGCTAACAGCTTCCTGATGCCTGTGGGAATTACAGTATCCAAAGAAGGCTTTCAGAGCAGGTATTTGCACCGCCTTTACCTGATCAATTCCTGCCTTCAGGATTTTATTTCTGCCAGATTACAAGGATCACTTTACATTAAATCCACTCTATCTTCTGGGTACACAACAGTAAGGGAAGCATGGGCTGTGCTGTGTTCTCTTTAACTTTTATTATAGATTAAAAGAAGATTGATAATAATGACTCTGCTTAAAATGCTGTGGTGCAGCAAGAGGACTTTCAGTTCCCTTAAGATAACATACTTAGGGCTGCTCCTGTTGTCTCCTGCATTTGCTGTTTTTCTTGTATTTTTTCCCTTCCGTAATATTTCTTTCTGAAGAACTCTGCTGGGTACCAGCCCTGAGCCTGCAGACTGACATGTCTGCGGACCAGCTCTCCCCCACTGGCTACTCAGAAAATGTCCCCTCGGAAGGGCACTGCCGATGGGTGCAGTTCCTAGAAAGAGGGTGAGCTGCTTCCTCTGGGTCCAGGACTGGGTCCCGACCCTGCCAGCAGAGCCAGGCTTGGGCAGAGATACACAGGCAGGGACATTCAAACCAAGCTCTCTGCCAGGTAAAAAATGATAAAGAACAAGGAACGAAAAATCCTCTCTCAAATACAGTAATGAATATTTGTGCATAATCTTATACCATGCCGAAATAATATAATATATAGTCTTATACTGCATGATATGTAGGATATTTCAATGTGCTTTCAGTGTCCAGAAATAAAACTTCAACAGAAGTAGAACAATTTTCCAGTACTTTTCAACAAGTCACGCTCTTGCCCTTACAATATCCCTCACACCTACTGTCCTAGGACCCAACCAAAAAGGATGGTGACTTTACTCTGAGCCTGCTTCTCAATACTTTCTCATACTGAAATTTGTAAGCTTCTGTTCAACTTTAAAACACTAATAAAAATTCAAAAGTCTCATAAGCACAGCCATTATTGCTTGGCTGCTTGCCATTTTAGACAGAAAGTTGCTCAGGAGGGAAGACTTAGGCATTGCAATCACGCTAGTAGGAGATATTTGTCCAAGGTGTACACCTCCCTAAGTCAGGAATAAATCTAATCTTTAGGAAGAAGAACTTGACAGTCCTAGCAGCCAGTGGCTGGGAGCTCCCAAGGACTTATTGCTGACCTAATTCTTCTCCTGTTTGTATCAGTGGCATTTCTAAAATACCATGCTCCTCACAGATTGGAAAATGGAAAGTTCCTGGCTTGGATTCATTTCAGAAGCTGTTCAAATATCTGATGTCAGAAAACATTCAAATTCTCGTGAAAAGCAAAAAAAATATTTTTAACTGATGTAATATATATATCATATATATATTTATCTAAATATATATTTATATTTATTTTTAAATGGAAAAGTCCTGGAGATATAGTAGCTTCCAAGCCAGTTACTGCCAATAAAGTGAATGTTGTTGACTGCAGAGTATCCAGGATATGTTATTTTATTTGTTGATATTAAAGAAAAAAATCCAACAAATTGGGAGCATGGTGCAGAGAGAAACTTCCTGGGTCATAAAGTCCAGACTTCTAGTATCCCAGGCACCACATAATTGACTCCTTTTCATCTGAGTTATCTCCGGTCTTCTAGATGGATGCCAAAAAAATATAAAACAGTAGAAGCAAAGAGAAAATAAAAAATTACATGTTTTTTTTTCTGTATCATAAACAAAACCACATTAGCAGTAGGAGCAGCTGTAAACATAGCAATCTGCAAGGCTCCAGCAGATAAGGCAAAGACTAAAGTGTCGTGAAGGATCTGATTAATTTTTAAATAAATGCGTTGTAGTCTTATTACACCTATATTACAGGAGCAGCTGAAGGTCCCTGGGAGAGAGGCACTGAAGGAGAGGGCTGCAGGCTGGGGACTGTTTGATGCCTCATTCCTGCCGTGCTTGAGGTTTTCTTCCACTCCTGCCTAATAGGATGCAAACATCCCTCACTCACAGAGCAGTGATCTTGGGTTCAGCCCATGGTGACAATAATCTAGATTATTTGTAATGAAGCCAGAGTTACAGTAACACAAATGGGAACACAGCTGTGTCCTGCAGGTTACTGTGTCTGGCAGAAGAGGTACAGAGCTAATAACTTACTAGTTTTATTAAGTGGTTTAACATCTATTTTACATCCATTTAACATCCATCAGCACCCATTGTCACCTTCTTGGCATCAGTGCCAAATATTAGGGCCAAGTATCCTTTCAGTCTTCTTGTGACAATCAGCATTTAACTGGTCTGTGTGAACTGAGATCTGTAGGGTCAGCTCTACTTGGGCAGAGGTGGAACTTAAAGTCTGGTCTCTCTTGATGATGAGCTGTTGGGTTTGGGAAGATAAGTCTTGTATCCTACAGCAGAAGGTTCAAAGCTCCAAAACCAATAAAGTTTCCAAACTAGAGAAGGTGGTAGGTCTTACAATAGATTCTTTTGTCCATTTTCCAACAGATTGGGGATATTCCTGGAGGAGTATGCCCAGACTGGTTGCCCTGACTCTCCGTATAAACTGAACAACACCCAAATAGGTGATGAGGTATTTATAAAATTCTGAAATATGGAGCTTAAACAGGTCATGGGCTGATGTTCACCACTAATGGCCAGATCATATCATTATTCAAAAGCCCCAAGAAGAATCTCTCAAAAGATGGCCTCTGGATTTTTCTGTGAGCACACTGACTCAATAGCAATGAAAAGCAGGTCCAGCAAAGCACAGAAGCAAGCAGTTAGCCACAAGCAGGTGATCAGTCCCACCCAAGCTCAAGATCTCCCCTCCTCACCAACAGCTGCAGTCACCAGTGTCTTGAATAATGGCCTTAATTTCCTAAAGAGACCTGCTAATGATAGTACCAGCCTCCGCACCTGATAATAGGGATTTGTCTTGGATTTTGTTTGACATGTTTAGAAGGAACAGATGAAAAGGCTGATGAGGATATTCATAACCTTGATCTCTTCACCAGGGGAAAGAGAAGTTCACATAAAGCTTTCTGCCTTACAAAGCCCTTCCAGACCTATTCTCTGGACAAAAGAAAAAAATGTTTTAATATGCAGTATTCTTAAACAGGCATTTGCCTGAAAGAGACTGAGCTTTGGAAACCATTGTTTAATTGTAGCCTAATAGATAAAACATTGCTTTGGGCTTTATGAAAACTAGAGACCAGTGTCTCTGACAAATATATATATATACACATATAGATGGACTATTTTGGCAAGTAGAGTCATCATCACTTTTTCTAATCCAAATATTCTGAAGTGGGCACATAAACAGATTACGGTAGAAAAACAGGGAAGATCTCTGATCTCTCTGTTCTTTAACCTGAGCTTAGCTGCATCCTCCACACTGTCTGTGCACTGCTTGGGGCTCTTGATGAGAGTTCAGTTCCAGAAGTTGTTCCTGTTCAGCTGGTGGGTCCATATAGGAGCTGGCATTGTCTCCTTTCCAGCCCACAGGGAAGATGAGAATCAGCCCCGTTGTCTTTTACAGGAAGCAAAGGGAAAGGAGAAGCAGTAGCAAACCGTATGAGGCAGAGGGAATTGATTGCAACCAGCCAGATATAATTACATTGTGGAGGACATTTAATATTTCATCTTGATCTTTGCTGTATCAGGAGAGTAAAGAAAATCACAATATGAGGGAGAGAGAGGCTGCAACTGCTCTTGATTTGAATTGTAAATTCCCACAAGCAAAACCATGAGTTACTTTCAGGCAATCTGCACTGAATATATCTGACCCAGATTGCAGGGAGAACCAGAGAGCTACTCCACCTGCTTGGAGACAACAGTGGCACTAAGCCATCGTGGCAGGTCCCCAGCACAGCAGGTATTTAATCCAATCACACTAATGAATTTCTCTCCTCCCTTCACTCCTGGGTAGCTACAGACATGCTGGCACAGGGCTCTTTGGTTAACCACTGCAAGAAGGAAAGAGCTTTACATCCCACAATCCTAAATGGCTCTGTCCTCAAAGCCAGACCTTTAAAAAAAACACAGCATACATTTTGATAATGACTGGTGTAATTAGTGTACACACACATACACACGTGTGAAGAGACAGTTAACGTTGAAAACAAACTTTACAGTGTTGAAAGGAAATGGTGGTCCAGAGGCTCTGGGCCAAGGTCAAACAGAAAGACAAGAGGTGGACTAGAAACAAGGATGCCTGATATACATATATACACGCACAGAATGACCATCCCATGCAAATCCTCCAAGAAAACATACCAAATCCCAGTAAATCCTCTCAAACTCCACTGCTTGCTACTCCTGGTGCCTGCTGCCCCCCCAAAGAAAGCCCAGCAGTATCAGCTACCAGGCAACTCAAGATGGGGAGGATGAAGCATTGCTGAGCATCCCTGCAACCGAAACATCCCCTTATGACTCTGACTGGCCCAATGTGTCTCTGGCAGTTCTGACACCCACCACTGAAATGCAGCTCCCTGAGGTGGATGATGGCCAGCTCAACTCAGAACTCACAGCAGGGAGAGAAAAGTTGCCCCAACAGCTCCGTGTGTTTGTCCTCCCGCAGCCTCAAGCTGCCAAACACATCTCGGTTTGCCATGATCACTTCCACACTCACTCAGACAACTGTTATCCAGCTCCACATATTAATTATCATAAAAGAGGAGGAAGATCCGCTCATTGCTCCAGATGATTAATCAGCTAGTCAGGCATAACACCACCCATGCTATTGTAATTGCAGTCAAATAATAACACTACAACACGCTGCAATCATAAGCATCATCAAACACCAGAGGAGTCTGGTGATACAAGCAAGTTGGTCTCTTCACAGTCCACACAGGATGATCTACGATCTGGAACAAGTTGTTAAAGACCGCTCATGAGGTGCAGCCTGCTCACCCGAGGTGAGGTAAGGGTCTGTTTCCCTCCCTCTGTTCAGAGGACAGACAGGGAGAGGAGGGATGGACTCATCCGTGCTCAGCACATCTGTGACCTCCTCTTGCAATCAACCACTGCATTGGGCTGCAGCAACAATCTGGGGAGAAAGATTTCTTGGCTGATGGCTCTCTTAAAATACACCTCACTACCACTTTTATCATCTGCTCTGGTTTCAGAGCAGTAAAGGCAGAGAATTTAACAGAATTTACCTTCTTTGCAGCTCCTCCTGGCCAGTTGAACCTGTACCCCAAAGCTTAGGCAACCCTTTCCAGTTCCCTGGCCAGTAATTCTCCATGCACTGGCCCTGGTTTCTCACTGAACTTGTGCCTTAGCTTACCTCAGTGCAAGGTCTCTGCTAAACTTGCTGTTAGCTTTACTCAGAACTCAGACCAAGCAATGCAGAGTTGAGCCTTTACTCCCCGGTCCTACTCCCCAGCAGCCACGATGTGCTTTTCTCCTCGTTCTCCATTTCATAGAGGAGCAATTTTCTCCTCCAGCTTTCTAAACTAGCAACTTCTGTCAAGGGCTTAGAGGACTGGACCCTGAAGCTAGGCTACAGCAAGGAGCAATTTTCACTACCCATAAATTCACAATTAACCAAACACATTTACGGTGGAAGGCAGGTGAGAATGCTCCCAGGCTGGGAGCTGATAGTGCTGCCCCCAAGGCCTTGCACACAGTTAGGGAAAGGTACTGTCTGCCCAACAGCCCTCTCAGCTCCCAAAGCTGCTTTAAAACACCCCGTGCACTTGCAGAAAGATCTTAATCCCACTCTAAGATTGAGCCAAGACTTTGAGACAAACCTCACCACTCAAGACAGGCTATACGAAGACTACAGCTCTCAGCCGAAGCTATCAGCCTTGTAGCACTGAATCCCACATCCTAGCACTGAAGCCGAAAATGAAGTAGCCAGAGCCCAGAAGAAAGGATATAACATAGAAGCAGCATGAGAACTTACAGCCATTATACCAGCTGTATAAAAAGTGTTTTGCTGGAGGGTTGTTTTTTTTTTCCCCAGTGCCCATTTTGCCCAGCGCTGGTGGTGTTCACTTGTGGAGCAGCTCTTTGGCAGCCTGCGGGAAGCTGATCGGTCTTCTCAGTGGGGCAGTTTTAGTTCAGAAGGGATAATTTAAGACAAAGGCTATCAACCTGTTGTCCATCTTAGGAAAAGTGGCTAAGCCCGCTCGGGGGCTGCCTTCCAGTGGAATGAGCAGCTGCTTGACACAGGGATCTTTTCTCAGCTAAGTAATGAGCTGTATTGATTTCCCTCAAAAAGAAAATTGGACTTTTACAAACAACGCAACAAGCTGCTTGAGTCAGGATGTTGCTGAAGTGATCTTGTGACCACCGCAGGCTCTTTGCTTGTCGTGAAAGAAAAAAAAAAAAAAAGTCAACCATTTATTCTACAAGGGCAGACTTCACCAGTATAAAAAAAAAAAAACTCTTCTGATATATTGGGCTAGTACCAGACCAACACGCCCTGCAGGGATGGTGAACATTCATCCATTTGGAAAACAGCTCCAGGAACAACCCATGCACTTGTTCTTGTGTGCCAAGGCCCTAAGTCTGCAGCAAGAGCCCACATCTCTCTCCTCATGCTCTCTCCGTGGGGATAATATGAATGCTCTCACCGCCAGCCAGATGCCTCTCTGTTGAGGAGCTCTGAGATACATCCTCCAGGCTACCTGGTAGCTCATCCCTGTCAGCCTGGGCAAAGCAACTCCAAGGGCAGAGCCCCTGGAAATGTTTCTCTCAGTCCCACATGTTTCAGAGCAGCTGAGGAAGGATGCAGGTCCTTCGCAGCCCCCACCCTGCTCTGCAAGCACGGGGAGCCTGCAGGAGCCAGGATTAATACCTTGTTTGGCAAGGATGGGCCAACAGCAAGTTTCCACCCTCTAGACAAAAGGGATCACTGCAGAACATCTGAAAGAAGAAATCTAACCTTGCTGTGACTGACTGCTGCTCTCACATGCTCAGGCTGTCCCCAGAAACCCAGCCCCAGCAGGGTTTGTGCTGTGCCCCAGCCCCCTGGGGCTGCCACCTCCCCATGGCAGCAGCGTCAGTGCCACATCCAAAGTCCCAGATACGCAACTGAAATCCCCTTGGGAGCCTCACCAGCACCATGGCAGGCAGGACAGCGGTGGGGGTGTTCCCTTGATGTACCACTCCCAAGGCTTCGCTGTGCCCCAAAAGGCTGCAGGACACCCACGCTACCTCCAGCTCTGGCAAAGCAAGAGCACCCCAGACCTTGCACTCAGCTGGGACAGGGAAATACCTCAGGGTCGGACTGTCAAGTGCCACAGCACCCAATTGCTCTCGGCAGCTTGATTCAGAGATCAAAAGATGCCTGCCTGTATTCCAAATGAGATCCCTGGACTCTGCAATTAAGCACTTTGGGACACTAATTTCTCTGATCAGATGCAGGCACCCATAGAAATGTACCAGGCTAACGCCCTAGCCAGCGTTTGCAGAATTAGGAAGCTGAAGGGAATAGCAGTGAGCTCAGCAGGGACAAGAAGTGTTAATTCTGTGTTGGTAAATGGGAATTACAAGAAATGGAAAATAAATAAAAATGCAAATTCAAAGTAATAAAAAAGCACAATTAAAGGAAACAGCCAGCATACTTTCCTGTATCAGAAAGAAATGCAATTATAATCACAGAATAGGCTTTTCTAATATTTTTCATATCAGTAATTTTTGTGTTTTATTTAGTGCATTATAAAATTTGGAGAAATATTACAATCTCTCCAGTAAGTCAATGTTTCATTATTTAAAGATATGAAGGGAAGAGAGATTTATAAAAACTCCAGCCCACAAAACAAGATTATGATTTCCTTTCTAACTGGAAAGATAGTGCCAAGAAGCGCTGAACTCACCAACAACAGGAACCATCAGCAAAACGTTCACACCAAACACATGGACACAGCATAAGCAGCTAAACCCAACCTGGGTTTAAAGGAGATAGATTTGGTGATGAGTGTAAGGATGAGGGGCACCTGGGCACCCAAGGTTACCCAGCTGACCCCAGTACTTCAGCCTGTGATGAAGCAGCACTGACTGAGAGCAGGTGCACCCTGCTCTCTTTAATTTGGGGCTGGGATGCAAAATCAGCAGTGGTTGTGCGAAGGCCAGCATCATTGTGATGTGCTCAGCTCCAGCAGTCTACGTGACCCGGCTCAGACACGGTGTGTTTTGCCCAGGAACCAGCAGTAGTTTGCTGTGGTCACCCCCTTAATGGCTGAGCAGCACTTGGGAAGGGAAGGGCTGAGAGGTGATCACCAGCTGAGGGTAAGGCATAACAATCCCAGTTTCCAAAGCCCCTCTTCCTTTTAATATCGACTGTGATGGTTTAATGATGAATGTTCACGCAACATCCGACCTCCTTCCTAAAAATGAAACAGAAAAAAAGAAAAATTAAAAGAAGAAACATCTCTCCTTTCACCTTCCTCTCATTCCTTTAATAATTTTGCAAAATTAAGCCAAATGTGCTGATTATTTTCCACGTGCGTTAATCATAGCCCAATCACGTTAGCGAAGGAAAATGCAGAGCCTGCTGTTTCCTCTCAGCACCCTCCTCTCACCCTGCACTCAGAATAGTCTCAGCCTGGAGGGCATCCTGCCGGTGCAATTAGCAGTGTGAAATGGGGAAGGGGAGGAGATGGGAAGGTGCAGGAAAAAGAACTTTTCTTAAAACTTAGGCACGGCTTTGGGCTTAGCAGAGCAAGCAAGCAAAACCCGAAGAACATCCTGTAGCTGAGAGCTTTTTTCTCAGCTCATAAGTCCAAGCAGGTGCGTGAGCAACTGCTGTCATCTTCTGCACTCTTACTGTAGTCCCTGTCCAGAGCTGCACGCCAAACTTGCATATCCAAACGCTAGGTGCATGAGAAATGCACCTGCCAAGCTTTGCTCTTTTTCAGATGTTGTTGTGCTTATTTAAATAGTCTGTAAAGGTTTAATATATTATAAAAAGCTGCAAATGATCAGCCTCTTGTGGTAAATTGGGATGGAGCCTACCAGGAAAGCAGGCTATTCCCTCCTTGACAGGGTTTCTCCCTGCCAGCTTGGCAGCTCTGCAGAACCAGCATCCCCCAGCAAGCTGGCCAGAAGGTTCCTTCACCACCAGCCAAGAGAAAGTGACTGCTCCAAGTGATTCAACTCGCTTCGTGCCAGCGTCTGAGGCTGAACCCCTCCAGCCCTGGACTGGCTGGTCACGTCACTAAAGAGGTTCCTTGTGGGAAGCCGTGGGAGAGCATCACGAGCTTGGACTGGATGCTGGAGACAAAGTGAAATTGCACGTGTCTCATTTAGTGCTCTGTCACATTTCAGGCTTGATTTGGCCATCACCACAGGGAGGCAGCTTGTGCTTCCACGCAAAGAATGAAGCACAAACCTTGAGCCTACAAACTCCTCCAAAGTGTGGCCCTGCAAACTCTCCTCCCCAGCAGCTGCTGCATCAACCAGGAATGGTTCTGCCAAGAAGATTAAAAAAAAATAAAAAATAAAAAAAAAAAAAACAGATATGAAGTGGCAATAACCTGGCAGGAAGGATTTGGTGACAAGGCCAGGAAGCAAGCAGTTATTGCAGGGTTATTTCCAGATGCACTGTGGTCGTGCCATACATTAAAAAGCTGTGACGTGCATAAAGATGAGAAAATGTTTGCCTCCAAAATCAGCTGCTTTGTGCATAGATATAGCCACTGTAGATAAACCCACTCTCAGGAGTGGGTTTCCAGTCCTTGCCTTTGCAGAACAGGGCTAGACAGCGGGGATCCAGAAGAGGGGAAACCTAGAGCTCAAATAAAAAGCCATCAAAGGCTCCTGATGCACCTGAGCATCCAGAAACACACACACATTTCATGTGCCAGGGCAAAAAGGTTAAGATGTCACTGAATGTCTGAGAAAAAATGTGGACACAACTTCTGTGTTCTTCCTAGGCAAATGCAAAAGTCTCTCCTCGTGCTGATGATGTCTGAGAAGGACAAAAACAGGGCCTCCCAGGTGCTTTTGATGAAGGATGTTCCTCTTCCTCCAGCCTGGAAATCCAGATTCTCATAAGAATCAGGCCAGCATTAGGTAAGAAACATGGCCTGAAAGCTCAGGCTTGCAATTGTTTTGTTCTCTGGGAATACAGAGACACACAGCAATCTGCTGTGACAGCAGGTGGTTTGAAGAGTATTTACTGAAAGATGGATTTTCCTCCCCACCATGCCCCAAGCAACACAGTTGGGCAAAACAAAGTGATCACAAAAATTACACATAGTGACAGAAGCAAAACATGTCACCAGAAAAATGCCTTCTGGTGCTGTTTTGTTGTTTTTGTGCGGGGCATCCCAGCTGGGTTCTGAGAAGCTCCCAGCACTCCCTTTGGTTATTTATCTGTTTTAAACAGCTTGAAGAAATATCACAGCTTTCTTCCTATGATAGTGATGTGGCGTGTTTCTGAAAGGACTCTTCAGAAATGAGGATTTCTCTTGATGTCCAGCTCACAGGATATGGCATGTTCCAGCTCACAGTGTCTATTTAAGTCCCGTGAAGGTTAATATGTTCCTGGGCGAGTCAGCTAGGAGACCACACTGCCAGTCAATGGCACAGAGGGTGCTCTGAGCTGCCAAGGTGAAGAGCTTGCCTTGCTCACCTCCCTCAACCCAAGGGACTCGATGGACTTGACCGCCTGGCCCTCCTCGTGCCACTTTACCTCTCCCTTGCTCTTTTGCCATCATACCAAAGGATTTGTGAAGTGGTCTAACGAAGGTGAGACCCCTACAAAGCCCCTCGGGACGTTCAGCTGACACCCACTGACCTCCTCTTAGATCACACATTGCTGACTGCTGACGCGATCCAGACCTCTTGGTCCCCCCGTGACATCGCCTGCACTTCCCCGCAGCCAGAGGCAGATGAACTGAATCTCACCAGGCAGGTCCAAGACAGATTTTCCCCTGTGGAGCCGTACTGTGCTGCAGACAAGTCCTTTGGGGAAGCCCCCGGTGCCACACGATGTGCGAACTCTTCAGGCCAGTGGCCTCAGCACCCTCTTGTCGCCGTGCTCTGGTGGTAAAGGCAGCAGGCAGGACTTGCCCTGATACACATCGAGAAGATGAGGTGAAACCATCAGACCCGGGTGGAAAAGCATGCAATCTGTCTATTTTCAAATAAAACACATGCTCATCAGCTCCAAAGGAAAAAAAAATCCCCTGTAAGATCTTAGGAGGAGGCCCAGAGGACTTTGTGATCACTGCTTGGAAAGGGCAAAGCTGGAGCAGAGATTAATATTATATTAGTGAGAGGTTTAGATGGAAAACACTCCAAGACTACTTGCATGCTGTCTGAGTTACTACCAAGGAGTACCCTGCAGGTTTTCAATCATTCTCAGGGCTCTGGCACCAGCATCTCTGTTTACAACCTGGATTCGCTCTGAACACAGCGTTCGCAGAAGCTGTTGGAGCTGCTGGCTTCAGAAAGAAACTGCTTGGGAAGCTGAGGCAAAGAAACACGTGAAAAGGAGGGAAAAGCCACCTCGTTGCTTCTGGGAGGCTCAGAAACTGCACACCGGAGAGGGGAGGATGGCGAAAAATTAGCTTAAGGGGTTGAACAGAAAGATGGCTCTGATCTGGCCTCTCTTGCAAGGATCTTTCCTTCTTCTCCTTCTGTGATGTCACTCCTGCTTTAACAAATAATAATAATAATTTTAAAAATATTAACAGCATGCAACTCCTTTCCTTAGAAACCCTTGCACGCTCCCAAGATGGCTGCCAGCAATTCAGCTGATGAACCTGCAATTCAGCTGCCCCTGGGCGAATCCTGCCCACCTGCATTTCTCCCCGAAGCTGACAGCTTTGGGTTGTGCCCACCCATGCCCCTGGGTGCCTGCCTGCAAGCACATCCCCTGCCACGGCGAGAGGTTGCCTTCCCGTCTCCTCTGAAGTGGCAGGCTGTGTTAGGCTGCTCGGAATCACATTTGGTTCTCATTTTCTAGCAGACATCCAAGATAATATTTTTAGAAGAAGCTATACTGGTATTTGCAAAAAATAGCCTTCTTTGCTTTTATCCCAAATGGGGTCTTTTCCAAGTTTCTTTTCCTACTTTAGTCATATTTTTAAAGCTGTTTGCATTAGACAATCCGATCCTGGAAGAGCATTAATCAGACTCTCCGTGGGCTCCAGTTGCATGTGTGTCAGATGGCAAAAATACAATCAGCTCAGCCGTAACCTAATTTTCTTACCGAGTGGATGAAGCCCCAAGCCGAGGGCCATATAAGGCTGATGGCGAGATCAGCCAGCGGCCGCATGGTGCCACTGACAGCCCTGCACCAAGAGGAGCCCCTTCCCAAGGCCTTCCCACCACGGCGGGTACCTGTCCCTTGAAGCACCGTGGCCCAGCCTCGTGCAGCATTTTGGATGGGAAGGGGAGCCACCAGCAGGACTCTGGTATCTGGGGGCACTCAGCAATCTGCCTGGGGAGCCGTTTTCTCTGCTTGGCTACAAAGACAGGTTTGGTGTGTTGTTTTGTTTTTTTTTGTTTTTTTTAAAGAAGATTCCTGGGAAAAGGGCCTGGGTTAAGGAGGTGCTGCAGCAGCATCCAGTGGCAAGGCGAGATGGGGGGGCTTGTGTCTGCCCTGAGCCTTGGCCAGCCTCCATCCACAGGAACAGGAGAGCAGAAGGCAGGGAGCCACGGGGCTGGGCTCCTTCCCCATGCGTCTGCAGGTGCCCACACATGTCCTGCAGTGTGGGGAAGCCCACGGGTCCATCACTGCTCTGGCCATGCTGCAAGCTCTGGAGATGCCCCTGCCCCAGACAAGGACCATCTCCACGGGCCCCATGTCGGGGCTCCCTTCCTCACCACGGCAGATGTGGATCGTGCTAGGATGTTGGGCATGGTTTTAAAGTAAGCCTAGTGTACCCAAACCTAGATACATATCAGCTAAATTCTGCAGTAGGATGGGAGAGTGGGAAAAGAAGGGAGCAACTCCTTCCACAGAGGGCCAAACACCGGCACTGAAAGCCTGGGCAGTGAAGGGAACATACCCCTGCCCATCCCCTTCCAGCACCCTGAGCTGTCTGCTCGGGGAGCACCAGCTCTCCTGGGCACAGGACAAGCTGCTCTGAGGTCCCCAGTGAGGGAGGTGGCCCCTGTGCAGGTGTCAAGGCCAGAAGTAGAAGTGCCAGGAGGGCAGAGCTTATGCCCCTGGGGCTCAGGATCTGCATCTCAGACCTAGATCGGTTTGATGCCACCAAAATTCCCTCCACATGGATATAGGCTCAAAAAAAAACTCAGGCTGAGGAGGAGTTTGGGAATAATCTAATCCAGCCTCTTGCCCCAGCAGACCAGCTCTAAATCTTTGCCATCTGACCTTCTGCGAAATGGGGCCCAGCGTGGGAGCTGGGCTTGAAGATCAGAGACTTCAACAGGGCTTTATCAATTTACTCCTGCTGGGGATGGGCCCCAGCCTATTCAAAGTCCCCTTAAGAGCTCAGACAGCTCCCACAAGCTAAGCACATCCCATTCCGGCTATTCCTTCTGTGCCCTTTTCGCACCAACCCAGTGCAGATCACCCGCTATGGCACATAAAGGGACATTTCCATCTGAGGGGAGACAAATGAGACCTCACAGACCTGCTCCTACCCCCGTGTCAGCCACGTGGAGGTGGCACGACCCTGAGCGTGGTGCCAAGCACGGTCAGACACTACCCAAAAGAGGGAGCAGATCTGGGAAAGGTGCCCTTAGGACAAAAACCCTATATATCCCCCTCCTGCTCTCAGTGCCTGGAGAGAGGCCCCGGCTGCCCAAGCCTGCTGCCCCAACGTGCTTTAAGTCAGCTTGAAAAATTCTAAATAATTTAACTAAGTAAGTAGCCTTGTGCGAACAAGTGAAACCCTATCTGCTGCTGCAGGAGCAGAGTGGATTTGTCACTCTAGGTTATAAAGCAATGCCAGGCTCTTACAGATAAAGCAGCGCGCTGCAATATTTATAAGATATCCGAACGTGGTTTATAAATGTGACACGAATTCCTCTCTCTTCTATAGGGAACCGTACTGAACTGCCAGCACATGGGCAGGCAGCACCATCAGCTCCTAAGGGACCTTTGGTTTGCCCAAACCACGAGCCCTTTTCTCAGTCTCTGCTCACTGGCAGGTGCATTTTGGCAGCAGGAGACTGCTTCTGGTTAATACCTACACCCAAGGCCCAGCAGCTGATTTCTGACAGCTCCATGCAGAGGCCTGGGCAGGGTGAAGGTAGGGATCACAGTCCTAATACCTCCAGAGGTGATAAACCACCTACAAAACAAGGCACGCCCTGACCAAAGGAGAGCTGTGCAGAGCCACGGAGGGAGAGGCAAAGCTCACGTTCATCAAGAAAAATAGTCAATAAATAATCCAACCAGCACCAGCTGAGCAGCGTGGAAGGTGCTGGGGCAGGCTTCAAGGGGTCCATGCCTAATTTACAAGACCATATTTGCAGTTCACAATGAATTTCTGGATATTCTGGTTTATCACTGGCCTGTTCAAAGAGTGCTGCAAGCAAAAATCGAGGGCTGAGAGCTCAGTTTTGCTGTGGTTTTTCTTCCTCTGGTCTGACAAAGAGGGAAATGCCAAGCGCATTAAGTTTTATTATGTTTTCTTCCCCAATTAAGCCACAACCACCCACGCAGGAGGACCTTTCCTGGGGACCTGCTGGCTGGCAGCGATGCCACCAAGAGCAGCGCAGCCGTTCAAGTGACCACGCCGCAGTTCTGCTCTGAGATCACCAGCAGCCACAGGGGAAAAAAATGCCCAGTGCGTGTCCCAGGATTTCTTAACGTATAGAGAAAGCCCTTCCCCACGAAGCCTTCTTGCTGGTTCAAGACAGACACAGCAGGAGAACAGAGTGACAAGCAGCACTTTGGGGCTCAGCAGGCCCAGAAGGACTGCCACATTCCCATGCAGGCTGGTAGAAAGAGGGGCCCAGAGTAATTTAATCCCCATCTGCAGATGATGCTCCCATGCAGCTTGGGTCTTTGAACACTCTCTGGTGTTCAGAAGATGTTTGTTGCATTACAGCCCACACAAACATCCACTGGGGCTGCTATCTGGGGGAAAGAGGGAGCTAAATATTTAATTCCAGTCTCTTTCATCAAATATTTAATCTATTTAATATTAATTAAATCTTGGTCTGTATAAACAACGGCTAAAAATTCACCTCTCCCTCCAAACATCTGATAACGTGAACGTGACAGTTTATGCCATCCCAACTGGGATGGCAATTAACAAGGGTTTTTTCCATCCTTACAGTCCCAGTTGTTGTAATCGCAATGTCAGGTTGGTGGCCTCAGGTTTACCCCAACCATTAGCCCTCCCCCCCCAGACACACACTCCCAGACAATGCTGCATCCCCAGCCGCAGGAATCCATGAATCTAAGGTGATGGGAACAGGCCAGGAATGGGCACTTCTGGGGACGATGAGTGAGTGAGGGCTAAAATAGGAACAGATCGTTTCCACCACAAAGGACTGGAGCCAATTAACACCGGGCCGTGAAGGCAGCTGCCACCGTTGCATCTGCAACAAGCACCTTACTTTATGGCAGGAAACCCTGCTTGGACCAAGCCCCACTCCTACCAGTCACACCAGCCAGAACTCATTTTCTAATTAGCCCCAGT